AAAAGTATGTTAAGAAAGCTAAGAGATATATTTCGAGCAAGTAAAACACTCCATAAAGAAACTATAATTCAAAAAAATACACGTAGACGACCAACCCTGCAGTAACAACATAAAAAACAAGTCGATTCTATAAATCAAGCTCCCAAAAGATGTAGATATTCAACCACATCAAAATATGTTTGGATGGATCTGATAGGATTAAACAAGGAACCGAAAAGACAACTTATACCTAACCGCAATTGTAGACTTTGAATGAAATTATAGACTTGAATTAAGAGCCTTACACTCATGCATTATGGAATGAAATTCCAATAATGTTTTTCCTTACATCACACATGCAAGATGTCAAGGGTGACGAAAATTGCGGATTTTAAGCAATATATGTTTGTCTTGGGTTCGGTAAAGATGAGTGGCTCAAACTGTTATACTAGTTATAGAGTGCATACAATGTCTGTTCTAGAATTTTGTTTTCATTGATGGAATCGATGAAGTACGTACTTCATTGCCTTTCTTACATTTGTTTGCACCAGAGTGCAACACTTGATGGTTATGCCTTAACATGTATCCTGATTGCCAACATGATTCGTGTAATCCTTAGTTTTACAATCAAGCGAGAATCCATAGTTTCCTTTCCCCTCTATAAAGGTCTTGAAACATTTATGTACCATCGGACTATTACGGCTTCACATTTGTATGATAATCATTATGTGATGGTAAAGTTAGAAGAAGGTTGTCCGTTGCCTACCAATTCCATTTATTGGGTCCACCACAAAGCCCCATGTACAGCCGGTTGAGAACCCATGTATATCTCATGTTTGAAATTTTATAAACATCTTAAACTTTGTAATCCTCAAATATTTTTTTATAACTATAGAAGATTATTAATGGATATTATTTTTTGCCACTAGTTTTTGTGTTTATGTTGTCATTTTTGTTTAATAATAAAAAGGTAAGTGTTAATTAAAAATAATAATTACTTAATTATTAAGGGTATTTTTAGTCCTTATTTAGTTATTTAAGTAGTGGGAGGTGTTTTTTTTTTAATTAAATGAGATGTTTTTTAGTAATAATAAAATTAAAACTAGTTTTATTAATATTTTTTACTAAAATTGTTTTTTTTTTTAAATAAAATGAGGTGTTTCTTAGCCATTCTTGTGATTGAATATTATGTTTGTCATATGTTACTACTTACTATTCAAAGGACAAGATACTAATAAACATACAAATAAAAACTGTGCAATCTCCTATGATATGTAGGTATATTACATTAGGGTGGTGAAAAAAACCTCATTTGGGGGTTTGAATTTTCATGTTTTCGGTAGAAAATTAAATATAGTTAAATAGTCTATCAATTAAGGTTATCAATCAAATTTAAATAAATATGACTAATATAATATAAAATTTCCGATTTTCATTTTATTTTATCGTAGATTTTAATTTATTTAAAATATAACACCTATTTTATATTTTTCACATTTTCAAAAGACGTTAGTTAAAATGCAGATCTTTAAAACTTGAGTTGCGGTTTATATTTTACCCCACTTTCACCCGATGGGCCTTGGGATGCACTCTCACCCGATAGGCCTTGGGATGGGTTTGATGTGGTCCTGATAGTGCGGTTTACCGGTTTATATTTTATAGAAAATTGAACATGAAACACTTGTGGATGTAGGTAATCTATAAATGCACGAGATTGATCCCAAATGTAACTCTCCACAAATCAAGTTGGTAACATTGTTGATATGATGCATGCCCGGCCCTGAGGGTGTGCAGGGTGTGCACCCGCACAGGGACCCGGAAAAAATAGGGCTCGAGTTTTAGCCAACTTATATATTAAATATGTTAATATATATTAGATTACGCATAAAAATTCAAAACCGTCTTCTAGTTCAATTGGCAAATGGCGCTAAGCATGTTAGACTGTTTTAAATTCGGCCTGGGTTCGATCCATGGCGTCTACAATCTTTTGCTTTTGTTTTTTTATGTAATAATCGTTGTTTTTTAGTAATAAATATATTTTAAGTGTATATCTTCATAAAAGAGTTATAGTTTCCTTTTACATGGAGAAGGTTTAATTCTTGTTACCCCCACCTTCCATCAGCTTTTTATTCATAGTTTTTTTTTTCCTTACCCCCACCTTTTTATTAATTAGTTTTTTTTTTTTTTTTTGTTTTTTTTTTACTTCCCATATGTTGTAATTGTTTCTTTAATTTTTTTTTCTAATTGCCCTCACTCACTTTAATTGACCAATTTTTCAGTTAATCAGATTTCTTTTGTTTTTCAACTTCGTCCTCACCATATTAATCAATTATACCATATTAGTAGTATTAACGAATTATATATCTATATATATATATATATATATATATAATATATCTTATATATTATATATATTATATATATCTATTATATTATATATATATATATATATTAGGGTCCATCTTTTAATTTTCGTACAGGACACTCAAAATCAGCGGACCGGCCCTGATATGATGGTTGCTAGTGTATTGATTAAATGGTCTTTAGCTCAAATGTTTACCATACTTTCTCCATGTATATTAAATTTAAATGACTTCATATGTATTTAGTAAAATCATATATAAAAGGAGTAAACCAAATGTTCGAATTTGAAGCTGCCATTGGGAAAGTGTGACAGCACAAACTAAAAATTGTCGCAATAATGAATTTAGCATGAGGTTTCCATTGATTATAGTTCTACTCACATGCTAAAAAATACTTTGGCTGCTCCATATGTTTATTTAATACAAATTCTTGTAGCAAAATTAATGTTTAGTAGAATCTTTTTTATTTTTCTTTAGGAATTGACTCGGTGTTGTATGTAAAGGTTTTAGCCATCGAAGGAGTACAAGTTGTTGGTCGTTATGAATTGGAACATTCCTATTCCTAAGGAGTGTTTGCTTGGTCTATGTGACTCGGTTTTTCTAAAAGGCCTTGATTTTTTAACTTGGTCTTCTTCTAGATACGATACCCATATTATTATATCTCTAATTGACACTTTGATCTATTTGACCCACTTTTAATTATGTTTTTTTCCCCTTAATTTATCATTTGAATCCACTAGTTTTTTTTAATGGATTGCATTTCCAATCTAATAATTGACGTTATATATGTTTTTTCCCACGTTATTTTTTATTAATTTTATTAAAGAAACAAAATATTAATTTTAATCGTTTCCGATCATCGACCATTTTTTTAATATACCATCATTTTTATGAAATATTTATGAAGCTCGCTCATCTAATTCTTTTTTAAGCACATATAATATTTAAAAAATAAAAAAGTACTTAACAATAACATCAAATAAAATCAACATAATATAATACACAAAATTAAAGTAAATACTACTAAATGTAGAATAAAAAATACTAAAATTTTAAAGGTTAAATATGTTTAGGAAAACGAAATGGAACATTATTGAATAAAATGAGTTGACACATACATATAATAGAATAAAAGTTAACATTATTGACAAAAAATATTTACTCCAACGGTAAAAAACATTTATTGGTTTGATTTTTAATATTTGACCTCTAAACAAATCTTAGATATATTTTAAGTTAATGGTTTTCAACATATAAGTTGAATATATCCTCTATAGTACACGACACCTGAAGTTATTTATTTTAAAATGTAATTTGACCAACTTGTATATGGAAAATACTCCACGAGCTATAAAACAAATAAAGAAATTAAAATTGAATCTTAAGAAAATCGAGCATGAAGTTGTATCTAAGATTCATATTACCCTTTGAAAACTTTGTGATAAAAAGGTTGAAAGGTGTCATTATCTTTACTCCAACCGCACTTTACTCTAATTAAATAATTGAAACCACATGCGCATAATTAATTAGTTGACTTATGATATATAGAGTATTGGTTGAATACTTGAATTAATTCTTAATTGATTAAACTAAATAATGTTTACCAATAATGTGTAATCATAGTAACATGGTAAGAATAAAATTCCTAACATATTCAATTGGTCCACCAATTTGACATGAACGCCAAAACAGATTTTTAGTCTTTTTTTTAGTTTTTTGTTTTTAGTTTTTTTTGGGGGATAAGAACCTTGAGTTGTAAAAGTTGTTTGAAAATTTTGATTTATTCCTTGTGTGAACCATATCCTTTGTTCTATGTAGATCCATCCTTGACGTTAAGAATGATTGACTAGATGCAATATTTTGAATGAATCTATCATTTAATAGTTGTGATTTGTTTTACAGTAAAAACTCGACTCACTTGCCACACAAGCTTACACGTGGCTCGTTCACCTATGAAATCTCAAGCTCATTAGTGGTTTTATATATAGAACTTGTTTCAATTTCATTATACAAACTTGTTATATGAGTTTAAACAAGTTGTTGTTTAACGCATACATATTAGTGGAAGGAACTATCGCAAACAAAATAACCAAAATTTTAACATTTTGGAATATGCCAAGGACAAAAACCAATATCATCGTAAAATAATTACAGAGATATACCAACATACATTGAAAGTACAAATACATAAAAAAAAAAAAAAATGCATGATCTGCATGATCAGACGTCCACCGAACGAATCAATCATCCCTTCATTGTTACAACACCATGATACGCCTGGAGGGAGCCAGTCAGCCAGCCACCCATAATCTCTATGCCATGAAGCTAGTAAATCAAAGTAGCTAGAAGTCATGACACTTGGATAAATCATAGTCCCAAAATGCAGTATTGAAGTGATTGTTCGAAATCCAATATATAAGAGGACCACAGTAACAAATCGCATTAACGAAGTGGGTTACCCGATAAAAAAACGGGGCCAAAATAGCATTATATGACTTTTGTTTTTGTGAAAATAAAACATCTTAACTTTTAATCCCAACTTATTTTATAGTATGTTTTTATTCTCGGTCACGAAAGGAAGGCAGCCACGCGTATTCCACGCCCTATTGGTATTTTATATTTATTTCATATTCAATTATCAAAACCCATGCATTAAATTTGAGAATCAAATTTTTTTCTTCATTTCTCAACCTCACTACGAAACTTTCCGATCAAGAACTGGTCAACCCAACCCATTTCTCCGATCTATCTCTCTAGTCTCTCTATATATACACCATACAACTTCATCACTTCCATCAACTACATTCACACACACAGCAATTTCAAAGACTTGATTTTGATCTCTTTTATCGATTGATCTTCAATACCCATCAAAAAACTTCAAATGGGTAAATCATTTCATTTTCACCCAATTTTTTGCATTTTAATTGCGATTTTAACCACATCATATGCTCAAGATTGCAACACGTACACCTTCTCAAACAACAATGTGTACGCCACGTGTGTCTCTTTACCTGTTTTGAACTCACAACTCCACTGGAACTACCACCCGACGAACGCCACCGTCGACGTGGCTTACCGGCAAACCGGAGTCTCCACATCACAATGGGCAGCTTGGGCACTCAACGTTGACGGGTCGGGTATGGTTGGAGCACAAGCACTTGTTGCTTTAATATCCTCAAACGGGTCGGTTCAAGCTTACACGTCGTCAGTTACGGGTTACGCAACGGGTCTACAACCCAGTGGATTGAGTTTTGGGGTGCCCAGGATCACGGCGGAGATGGTGAACGGCGATGTAGTGATTTACGCGACTTTGGTGTTGCCTGGTGGGAGGACGAGTTTTAACCAGGTCTGGCAGGTGGGTCCCGTCAACGGAGGATCTCCGGCAGCTCATCGGATGGGTTCTGATAATGCTAATTTACTTGGAAGAGTTGATTTCTCTACTGGTGAAACTAGCGCCGACGGCGGAAACGTCGGTGGTTCACGGCAGCGCCGGAGAAACGTAAGTTCCTTTTTTTTACTCGATTAAACTTTTTCCTTTTTTTTTTCGTCGAGAATCGAGATCTAAATTCTGGATTTGGTTTTGACATTTAACAATTTGACAGACTCACGGAGTGTTGAACGCTCTAAGTTGGGGAGTAATGATGCCGATGGGAGCCATGGCTGCGAGATATCTGAAAGTCTTCAAGTCGGCTAACCCAGCATGGTTCTACATCCACGTCACCTGTCAAGCTTCCGCCTATATCGTCGGAGTAGCCGGATGGGCCACCGGACTGAAACTCGGCAGCGACTCCGTCGGAATCGAATACAACACTCACCGCAACATCGGAATCGCACTTTTTGCCCTAGGAACCCTTCAGGTTTGCTAAAATCGATCACATTTTTCATAATTTCTTGTCGATCTTGTGTAAAATTGAAACTGATCTTAACAAATTTTCAGGCGTTTGCTCTGCTTTTGAGGCCAAAACCGGAGAACAAATACAGATTTTACTGGAACATCTACCACCATGCCACCGGATACACCGTGATCATTTTAAGCATCGTTAATGTGTTCAAAGGGTTGGATATTTTGGACCCTGAGAAGAAATGGAAGAAGGCCTACATAGGCATACTCATCTCTTTGGGTGTAGAAACACTTATTTTCGAAGCTTATACATGGTTTGTCGTTTTGAAGAGGAAACAAGACGACGACAAAATCGAACAAGTAAGCAATGGTTACACCCAGTCAGCATAGAGTTTTGGATTTAATTTTTCACATTTTTTTACTTTTCATGATTTATATGTAATTCTTTTGGTGGTATATACTATATATATTTGTTACTATTTGATGACACATACTAGAATTGGTCTAAAAAAAGGATTTAGCATATGATAATATCTCATGAAACAAAATGAAAAAACCTAAAAACAATGCCTTCATATGACAGTAAAAATAAATATGTAAGGCATTTTTCTACTTGAATTAAAAAAAGGAAAAAAAAAAATTTAACATGAGATTTCTTCACATTGCTTTAAAGTGGAGCATGGAAGGCCTTTCAGCTCAAGGGTAGCGATTTCCTTCACCACTTCAGCTTTGTCTGATTCAAATTGGGCATCGGCTGTAACACAACAGAATATGAATAATGAATTTACTTTTTAAGCATATAATCTTAAAAAGTATCAGAAACCGGAATAATAATTTTTTTACCTTTTTCGAGACTAAAATCACTGAAAAAACGGATGAGTTTGCTTCTGTTTGCAATCAGCACATTCACAATCTCTGGTGGCTTTTTCTGGTTAGCAGGAAACAGCTATTCCAAAAAAACAAAAACATATTTTTAGAAAATAAATATGTGTATATGAATTAAAAATTAAATACTTGTTGTATATATATATATATATATATATATATATATATATATATATATATATATATATATATATATATATATATGTTTAATACCTTGAACACATGGAAGGCTTCTACCTGTATGGTCTTGTTTGAATCCTGCAGTGGAATAAAAAGGTCAAACATTGTAAAAGTGTACATAAAAATATATAATATAATTTTAAATATAATATGGAAGTGGGACATAATAAATAAATACCCTAAGAAGATTCATGAGAATTCTCATGTTATCCAATGAGCAAACATATCTAACCATCACAGAGGTATTTGAACGATCCAGTAACATTGCTCCTAGCAACTATAAAACATTTTTGCAGATTCTCAGTTTTCAATTTAAATGAATGAAATAAATAAATAAATAATATAGAAATAAACAATAAATAACCTTCACAGCATTTCGTCTGGTAATGTAGTTGGGAGATTGCAGCAATGAGTTGTACTCCTGGAAGAACTGCATCACAAAAGAATAATTAATAAAAAAAGTTAAGCCAAGAGTTTATAACAAATAAAAACTGAGTTCAATGACATAAACATTTACCCAATCATAGTTTTTGGAAAGAAATTCTGCAACAGTTGACTTATGCCTGGTCAATAGCTCCTGAAATAAGGTAAAAAAAAACCTTCATCATTTTATCTAGTAACAACACTATCATATATACATAATATGAAATTTTCACATTCATAGATAAAGTTAGCATCAAAGTGTCACTAATTTCGTTACTGTAGCCTTTTATAAACTTTCAAGAACTTAATACATGAAGGGGGTCATGATACTTAACTCTAAAAGTTGATGCTGCATCTGATGCGATGTCAAAACTTGGATCTTGTATGAACTTGAAGAACTTTTTAATGTGATCAGACTCCAAGATATATCTGTAAAAACAACAATTATGTTTCATAACAAAATATATTAGCAAGATATTCTTGTCTATGAAGCTTACTTTGCAGAAACTTGATGCCGAATACATTCTCTTAAGATTGCACCGTATGATAGAGCGAGCTCTGAGTCATCAGTTCTAAACATGAAACATATTTGTAGGTTAAAAGACCAAAATAGCCTCTTCATATTTATATTGAAGAAATATATAGAATGAGTAAGAGAGTGATTAAAATAATTACCCTGGTAGCAGCATATCCAGAACATCTGTATTGTGCTCCAAATATTCAGAGGCAATACATCTTCCATTGGGGCGTTGTCTCTGCAGATTTGCTAACACATGTGTAACATCTTGACGAGTCTGCATGATACCAAACTCATTGCTATTTACAGCATGCAAAAGAGAGATAAGATAAGAATTGAACAGCATTAGAATTAGATACTTGAAGGATACATCCAATCTCCTTGTTCTTACAATAAAGAATTAAAGATGGTTCATGAATATGATAAACTAACATATAACAAACATACCCCAGGGTCCAAATTAGGAAGGGAAGCTAGTAGCTTGCGCAATGTATCTTCTCTGAAAAACTCCTGTGTCAGCTTTGCACATGGCTCTTCTGCTGGTTCTGACCGATCACTTCCATAAAGTACTGTCCTCATTTCAAGAATCACTTTTCTTAGTTCAGAAATCTGCACCATCAGTAAGAATTTAAGCATTAAAAATGGCTGTTGATCAACAAATGTGTCAACCAGAAAGCTGATACTATCAAATCATAATTTTCTTTGTTTTTTTGCAAAAAGACATGCATGTAATGTAACGTAATGCATAACCGAATGTAAGCATCTCACGACAATCAAAAATCCTTTTCACCCAGAGATATAACCCTACGTTTGCGTATTATGCAGATATTCAGCCCTTTGTAATATGTTTAGGTATCTTACTGTTGTCGCCAAATACTCAGATTGAATAGAATTTCACATTAATCGGAAAATTAGCGAAATCAAAAGAACTATTTTACGTTGATAACGGGGAACGGAGGTACCAATTCCGATACTAGAAGTTTGTAGATAGAAACATATATATGGATTAGAAAACGGGAGATTGAATAAAACCTTCTCGCGGCGCTTGCTCTGACGAACATCGGGATTTGGGGCGGTGTAGGGTAGGAGGTTACGGAGGTGATGAACGAGCTCCACAGGGGTACGAGGCTTTGATTTGAATAGCCCCTTCATTGGTTCGGAGCAACACGGAACAACCAGAGTCCCTGCTTTCTCCGGCGAGATGAATAATAGGTTAGGAATTTTGGGTATTTAGGGTTTTGGAATCGAAATAGGATGAGGAATGGGAAGAAAGAATTGTATCGTCGATTGATATGAACCTTTGATTAACGAACATTGTCGAATATAATCTGAGTTTGAAATATGGAAATGGGAATTTGTGAGTGAATTTAGGGTTCGGATATGCTTGAATTTTATGTGTATATCCATCGAGGAGTTTGATGGTGGTAGTAACTGCCAGTTATTCCCAGATTTAGCGGGAAAGACTCCTAACACCTCTCAAATCCTCCACCTTCCTTGTTGCACGTGACCTTCCCAATTGCACGTGCAATCATCCATCTAGCAAAGGATATTCACGGTACATAACACTTTTTATTAAAAAAAATGGCAAGGAAGACTTCGGATTAGATATAATGTTCTGATGGAGAGAGAGGAGCCAAAGAATCAATGAACTTTCAGATGATCAGGGTTGGACTATGGTCACCAAGAAAATAAAAACAACAAGGAAGACTTCGAGTTGAGATAATGTTGTGATGGAGAGAGAGGAGCCGAAGAGTCGTTGGACTTTCAGATGATCGGGGTTGGACTACGGTTAGCAGGAGAAAAAAACAGCAAGGAAGACTTCGAGTAGAGATAATGAAGGGGAGATTGATGGAGAATTGTAGTGCAACAAATTTGTGGAAGATCTTTCAGAAACTTGGATGTCTGGTTGATATGTATGTGGCTTAAAACTAGCACCAACTACTTATCCGCTTTGGTTTTGTAAGATTCATACGGGTGCACAACATAACAGAAACTAGAAAGGGAGTTGAATAATACCTGGATACAAGGGCATAAACGAATGCGAATATTTATCGGTTTAGGCGGAAAAAAAACTATTGATCAATTATTGGAACAATGAATAGAGGATGAAAACTGATGAAGTAAAAAAGAGAACGGATGTATTTCAAACATGACTTATGTCTTTGAAAAAGAGTTATAGATTATATGTTGATGTTGTAAACGGAGTACAACCAGAAAACACCATGTATATGGTTAATAAGGAGAAAAAGTTTGACCATATTAATCTTGATTCCATAACTCCAAAGTCCTATTCATGGTTGGAAGGATGTATAGTTGGCGAAGCGAAAGACCTATATATTTTGTCCAGTTTCTTTGGAATCTTTAGTTCTTTTGGTCTTGTTGACGGCTCGATAAATATATACGGGGATTGAATGTTCTACTAGACTTTGGAAGAAAGAGTGTGGCAATTTTTTTTATGAAAGACCATGTTGAAGGATGGAGAAAATGGTTTGATTGGTTAAAAATATGAGATGATTCCTTTATCCATATGTATAGAGTTTTGTGGATCAAAATCAATGGTGTATCTTTTTGTTTATGGGATTCAATCTTCTTTAATGTTGTTGCAACAAGATTTGAAAGAGTGTTGATTCCTTTTGATTGACCTACGGATGAGAATAATTTGTCTTACGACAAAATGTGTATCCTTACTATGCATGATACTCTTATCAATGAGTGTGTGGATGTATGTTGGAGAAACAACTCGTTTGTGGTAAGAGTGCAAGAAAATGGTCATGAATGATCCCCACCATGATGTGAGATAGACAATGAATCAGATTCTGAAAGAAGGGTATGAAAGGTTTGAGGATGAGCAAACTGACGAATATGATGGAGTTGAAGGGGAAAAAAAGTCAATGATGATGCTAAATCTAAAGTTTTGGTAGTTGAATCGGTAGTCGGAGGTGATGCTCCGGATGTGAAAATTGCTTCGAATTCTTTGAATGTGGGTGAAGGTGGAGATTCAATGGAATTTGTCAAAGAGGCCATTTCTCCTAATGTTTATTTTGGCCAAGAAGAAAATTTTAGGTCTATTGGAGATAAAATTATTATGCATTTCATTGATGGGTCTGAAGAATCAAGGGAGCATATTATGCAATTTGTTACCTGTTCTTTACTGGACTTAAATGAAAATGTTGATTTGGGTAATGAGGTGGAGTCTGAGTTAAATCAGATGGTTGAATCGAGTATTGAGGATTTCGAGACAATCACTTATTGGAAAAAAATATATTAAGTGTCTCTAATAAAAAAACAGGTCTCAATAGATATCGAGGGACACACAAGGCAAAATCATAATCGAATGTGGCGAGGAGTCGTCTGCAGACTCGTTAGATTCAATTTCTAATGAGACTGAAAAAATGATGGAAATGAGAATTGAGGTTGGTTATTTCATGGGTGGTGCAAATCATGCCCTAAGGTCGATTATTGAAGGATAAGGAGTTCGTATCGGTAATCAATGAATTGTTTATCAATCAACTTGAAAGGAGCATGTGGAATTCATAAGGCTAAGTGAGCAAGCAAGTTAAAGATTTTGAATTAGATCAATTTTATAGGTGTTCAAGAAACTTAGTTTGAAGACGTCTATGACATTTCATTTCATTTGGGACCGTTCTGATTTTGGTTGTGCTAGAGTGGAGTTGAATGACATTTGGGGGGGGGGGAGCTTTTTTGCATCTAGAACCCTCATGTTTTCAAGTAGGTGAACATTACTAAAAAAGCCAAATTTCTTATTATTACTAGACATTGGAATGGTATTGATGGTTAGGCCTGACAATCAAGTTGGGTCGGGTTGACGGGTCACTGGTTGGCGGATCAGAAAATATAAACTCAACCCAACCCATATAATATATGGGTTGTCGGGTCACGGGTTGGCGGGTTGGAAACCTCAACCCAACCCAACCCATATAACCTATTTTAGTATATGAGTTCACGGGTTCACAGGTGAGTGGGTCGAACCCAACCTGCGTAACTCGTTTAATAAATAAGCAACACATTTTCAAAAAATGAGGTTTTTTCAACATAAAATCATAAAGTGATTAAAGTCATTAACATAAAAAAAAAGGTTTTCAACATACAGTCATTAACATCCAAATAAATTTGAAAAATGAAAACATTCATATGAAAAGAAATTGTTCAAAAATAACATTCATATGAAAAGAAATTGTTCAAAAATAACATTCATATGAAAAGAAATTGTTCAAAAATATCCAAAAACAAATTTAATAATTCATTCATGCTAAAATTCCCATCAATGATGGTATCGCAAACATAATCAACATTTTATGCTCCTGTTGAGGAGACAGCTAGATTGAACCTTTGGAATCTTCTCAAATCTATAATTATTTCATCCAATGCTTGTTGGCTTTTAATGGGATACTATAATGAAGTTCCAAATAAACATGAAAGATTATGTAATCAGGGATGTGTTTCATCGATGGACGATTATAATTCGTTTATTATGGAAACCAACCTTTTAAATTGAATTTAGGGGGTCGCAAATTCACGTGGATGAGCGATAATGGTAGAAGTCTCGGTACACTGGACAAGTTTTTGGCGTGTTGTAACATCCTGTTTCGGGACGTTTCTTAATTCAGGGTTTGTTGACCGTAATTCGACCATGTAAAGACCTTGGGTTTCAAGGGAATGGAGTTTAGACTTTATTGTATGTTGATGGTGTTGGATAAGTGATTTAAACCTTGAATTGTTCGTTGGAAGCTGAGGGGTAAAATGGGAAAGGTAATGTTTCAGGCTTCTTGCATAAATTAAGAATTTTAGTTTGAGATGTTTTTAGTCATAAGTAACTAGATAGAAATGTAGGGCTCGTCGATACCTTTCCATGGATATAAAGATCATCGAAAAAGGAGTTGAAACGAAGAAGTTATGTCTGTTTGAAGTAAGGCAAAAAGAGTCACCCTCGTCGATACCTTTCCATGGATATAAAGATCATCGAAAAAGGAGTTGAAACGAAGAAGTTATGTCTGTTTGAAGTAAGGCAAAAAGAGTCTGGTACTACGCAGGGCGTACATGCTGAGGGTGGGACACGTTTTTAGTGGAGTACGCAGGGCGTACCCAAAGTTACGCAAGGCGTAATTCCGCAATGTAAAAACCCTAATTTTGGGGTTTTGAGCCCTATTTAAGGTCTCTAACCCTTGGGGGTCCTTCCTATCATCAACCTCCACCCTCTTGAGCCTTTAACTCGAAACCCTAGCCTCCTATCACTTATTTTGAGTATTGACATCATTTATGAGCTTATTTCTCCATTAGAAGGTGGAATCTTGAAGAACAAGGTGGTGTCAGAGTGTATGGAAGAAGGGTTCAAGTATAGATCCAACAAGTTTGCCTTATTTCTGGACCATTGAATGTAGAAAGCTTCAAACTTGCTCATTGGTTTCATAGATCTAGTCATTTGTCATATTTTCCACTTTTTGGTCATTTTAGTGCATAAAGTTTAGATCTTGAAAGTTTGTGACCTTGTTACGGATAAAGTTGGAAACTTTATCCATCTAAACATCATAATGATTCAGATTTGAAGGTTGAAGACTTGGACGTAATGGATTAAGATGATAAAGATGTGTTTTTTTGGTCCCTTTGAGGCTTAAAGACTAGATCTTGGTTGTTTGGGCCATCCTAATGGATAAAGTTAGAAACTTTATCCATTATGGAGCTATTAGGAACCTGATTTGAGTATTGGATTGTTAGCCTTTGAGCATTAAGTGCTTAATATGAAGATTGGCAAAAGAGGCAGTATGCAGGGCGTAATCTGGGCTACATCCAACGTAGCCTGGTTTTCACTCGTTTTCTGGATAAGGATCTATGCCCAACATAGAGCTAAGAGTACGCAACATGTAGGTTAACAAAAGGTTAACTGTTTACTTTTTTGACCAGTTGACTTTTGGTCAACCATGAGGGGTTTAATACTTGGAAGGGGCAAAAATGGTATTTTTCCCAAATAAGGGTTAGCCCTGTTATTTTTGGACCTATTAAGTTGAAAAATTTCCTTAATTGTTAATCGGGGTTGTTTTGTTTATGTCTAGAGTGAGGAGATTTTGATAGCAGCAACTAGAGTGTGTTTTACCCGACTATCGATTGAGGTGAGTCTTCTAACAGTGTTTGGCGGGTCGAAGGCACCAATGTCGACCCATTGATTATTTTTTATAGGATGCTAGTTGTCTATATGACTCTTACATGGATTGTATGTGTTTGTATGTATACCGGACGGGGCCCGATGTCAGGCGAGGCATGATGAATGTGTTGGGTGGGGCCCATCGCATGTTAGTGACATATCTGTACTGGGCGGGGCCCAATGTCAGGCGAGGCCCATTGTATGTATGGTATGTGGTATTTTGGGGAACACACTAAGCTTCGTGCTTAAGGTTTATGTTTAAAATGTTTTAGGTACTTCTGGTTCCAAAGG